TGGTGTCCAGTGCAATAGCCACAGGTCTGTARGTGATGGGATCAGAGGCAAAGCTCTCTGTGGCTTCTCGCACATTCTTGATTGTGCCCTCATGATACTGGCAAGGAAAGGAAAAGGATGGAAGTGTTAAAGCTGGTTCTATTCTGCTGCTTACAGAAACCATCCCTGTGTACCCCAGAGGCTGCCCAAGTCAACAGCTCTGCTCTGTTTCAGTTCTACCTTCAAAACTTAACCCAGACAAAGCTTCCAGAAAAGCAGARTGCAAGGATATAAAAGCCTTCCTGCCACAAAAGTGGAGTCTGGAAGTTATCTGGCTGTGCCCTCAGAGCCCTCAGCTCCAATTCCAAAAGGACAACTCAAGGAGACAACCCAGAGGTCTGGCTGAAGTGATTTTCCATGAGGAATACACACATCTGACAACTGAAAGTGGCTCACCAACCAACAGGCTTTTAGGARTAACTTTTCCAAAAGCTTTCCTGAACACCTGCCTATTCAACACAGCAGAATAGTCACAGCACCAAGAGCTGGGTAATTGTGCATGTGGAAAGATACCCAATGGTAGAAGAATGTCACAGTGCCACACATGGCTGCGCTCCTCCTCCCGTCAGAGCACAGAAGGGAAGATGCCTCTCCACACCGCCAGCTCCCACATATACTTCCAGCCTGACCCTACTATCAGTCCTGCAGGTGGACAGGCTTCTCACTCTTTGGTTTAAATTCCCATAGATAAAGGATTTGCTAAAACAAGGTTATCCATGTAAATATTTACCATTTATTTCCAGAGCCAAAGCAATCACAGACAGGAGTTCAATACTCYAGCACCACGTGCCTGGCTTCCAAACCTTGTTTGCGAGAGCATTTTGCTAAATGCTGCCAGTTTCAAGATAGTTTTGTGGGAAAATCCATCCCARCTCCCTCAAATGTGCTACAGATGGCCAGATCAGTTTACTTTACTTATTTAAACAACATTAAGAGATAACCCTAACTACTTACAACTAGTAAAAGTTGTGCAACACTTGACAGACCTCAGGAGATAAGAAATACCCTTTTCCCTCTGTGCTATATGGACTGATGGAGTTTGACCTGACTCACCTGGAACACCTGGCTCCCCCGTGCCACTCACGCACCCCAGCACGAGCCCTGCACACCGACATGGGTGGGTTGTCAAGCCAGCACCAGGAAGGTGAGGCTGGAAAAAGCCATGCCAAAGTTCACATGTGTGCCCTTGGCCAGTGATAGCCAACAGCTGATAACTCTTTACAGCAGGAAAATGAGTCAGTTTATTGACTGAGTGTGCAAGTCCGGGCTGAGATGGCCCCGACCCTTCCAGGCTCCGCAGCTGGGGTGGATGCAGCAGAGAAAACATGCCCCAACTGTGCTATTGTATTTATCTGATCCAAATCATCTGGGATTTTTCCATTTTAGATTGATAYTGAGGATTAACTGGCTCCTAGGGAGGCCACTTCCTGAAGAGCTAAGTATGCAGAACAGGAATGCAGGCAGAACTAGAGGTAAAAGCCATTTTTATTTTATGTAAAAGGGTGGCAAGGCAGGTGCCAAAGCACCTCTGCTAAAGCTGAAGCCCCATTAATTGCTTTGGGTTGGACATAAGAACTGAAGTACTTGTGACGATGGAAGCTCTTTAGGGCTTCACTGGGAACTGCAGTGTTCAGGAGGAGCCAGGAGGGGACACAAACYTAGGACTGGCTATGGCTGACTGTCACACTCTGCAGGCAACAGCCAGACCAGAGACCACACTAACCCAAACTCGTCCTTCTGTGTGAAATGTGCAATTAGACCTCACCCAAAGCACAAAGCCACACTCCCTTCCCTCAACCTCAGCCCACAAGCTCACAGACCACAGCAACTGGGCAATAACGGTGTGAGAACTCCCAGTTTCAGCCTGACCACCAACTCCCTGACTGTCACTCAGCCCAACAGCCACAGGATTTGACTCCCAGGAGGCAGAGTTACTCCAAACTATGCCTTCTCTAGGCTGATTTCCCARTTGCAGGGCATGCACTGACACTATCCCAGGGTGGTTAGTCAAGGTCCAATGGTTGCCCACAGTTAAGCATCAGCCCTTTTGATCCTGACAGTGCCCTGTGCCCATTAAAGGCCACGAGGGTGAGAGGCCAAGCTGTTACAAACCAGGAGGCTCATGGGTCACTAAGTAAAGCCACCTACAGCTGCTACTGGGTGACATTTTGAAAGCTGGAAAGCAGCCAGGGTCAAAAAAAAAAAAAAAAAAAACTCAGCAGAAAGGCTCCGGTGGCATTCCAGGCAACCTGGAATGGGATCCTCAGCTCCCTCCAGTATCACTGGGATCTCAGCTATTTATAGCATAGGGGCTTGACTGTCATGCAGTGTTGATTTCTTCTGACCTTACCCTTCTAAGCTCACCATAGCACGTCCCAAGCTCCATGGTGGGACTTTCCAGAGTGCCAGGAACACACCCGGAGCAGCTGGTTAGCCAGAAAAACCCAGGAGCCCCTTCTTCCCACTGGGCACAGTAACTACATCAAATCACTAGTAACAGGCSCCTTTTGGTCAGGGTTATTCACTGATTGCCTGCTTGTGAAACCCCCAGCAATGGAGKAAGAAGTGAGATGAACTGATAGTGTGACCTCCTGCAGAGGTGTAGAACATGGACAGGTCTCGGCTTTGCCGCTCACTAGGAAGCAGCAGCTCTGGGAACAGCAGGATGTGAGGAAGGACTGAAGGATTTCATGGCAAGCAGTTGGCACACAGTGTCAAATACCAGTTACCTGGCTCCCCGCTACAGGACAGGGTGTGGAATTTAATTGCTTTTAAAASAGCTCAGAAAATGCTTCAATGTTATCAGCAATGACGCAGGCCCGGTACGTACAACTAGTGTGCTTTCCCCAAAAGCAGCTATTTCACCTTGTCACACCAAGGCTGGTCTGGATGAAGCTGGATTTCCCTTTTCCATAAGGGACAGGATCAGCAGGCATACAGGTGCCGCAGCAGCTCAGACCCCACCCTTACCTCATGGGTGCCGTGAGAGAAGTTGAGGCGGGCGACGTTCATTCCAGATTTAATCATTTCCTTCAGCTTGTCCACAGAGCGGGAGGCCGGGCCTAGGAGGAAGAAACAGTTTGAACATTAACTTTGGAAAAATAATGAGGTAACCCACACAGACCAGGCTGTTTCATGTGGAAGAGAAAAGGTAAATGGATGCAGCATTGCTCAGAGCTGCAGCAGCAAATATTGTTTTAACTTGCCCACGGAGTGCAGCAGAATCCAAGCAATTCCCATTTCCCTGGATACTGGATTCACTCCCAGCAGGAACACAGGTTAGGCAAACACGGGAAAGTCAAGCTCCTTCACCACACAAGTTCAGCCCTGGCAAGGGATGAAAGCCAGATCCCTCTCACAATTTCCCTAACCAGGTTTCACTGAGGTGTGGGCTCGCAGTTGCAATTCCCTCCTATCTAGGAATGTCCTACCGATGGTGCAGATGATGCCGGTGTTTCTGGCAATGGTTGGCTCCGAGTCGATGTCCAGGCGGCACATGTGCTCCAGGAAGGTGTCTGCCATGGCAGCGTGCAGCTGCTGGGTCTGAATGAAAGCGGTCCCTGCATCTTGGTGCTTCGACATGGTCACTCGATTTCTGTGTCTGCAAGGGAAGAAAGCAGTGCCAGGTTTGGCAATCACCCACCCCAAATTGCCCAGCAAGCAGAGACAGTAACACACCCACGTGATGAATATGGACGCAACAAGAAAGCTGCTACTRGGTCAAACTATCTTTATGTTCCTACTTGAGAGTCTGAACAGGCAAGACACATTTCTATTTCCATGTCATCCCCCACATGGACCACCCAAAGCTCACCTGCCTTCTATGCAGATGTTCCCTTCATAGCTTCTCTTCATTGCCAGTCTTCCCTTGGAGCTACACAACGCAACAAAATTCAAGCACTTGAGTGCACAGGCAGAGGCTCTGCCTCCTCCCTCCCAGCTCTCCACTCATTTCTCCTACTGCAGGCCTCGACTGCACTTCCCATCCCACCTGGGACTGGGGCAGCTCAGCACTGGCGTGACTGCGGCACGTCCGGACACGGGCAACCTTCTGCCCAGGAGCACCTAATCACAGTAAAGTCCAACTAAGCCTAAACCCCATCCYTTAAGCCTGGACAAGAAGCAGACTTGAGTTGATTAAACACAACACCTTGGCAGAGAACACGTAAAAGAATGAAGATTTAATTCACTTAAAGTCCCTCTTCAACTGAAGATGCTGCAGGTCTCCAGTCCCCTGCACTCCCCTTCACCCACAGCARCCGAAATCTCTCACAAGCTTTAAAACTAGTTGTACTTTTAAATGTTTGGATTGAAAAACCTCYCTGAACTCAGGCTGTCTGCCTCCTCTGGACTACAGAGTCCCCAAAACAGCAGGAACAGCCTGTAATCCCAAGAGGAAGCTGAGCTGAAGCTTAACAGTCCCCCGCAATGGGAGGACACTCATTTCCCAGCAGTGCCGTTGCCCCACGCATTTCTAATTGAAATAATTTTGTTCTCAAGTAGCAGTRGCAGTTAAAAGCTCTTTGTCTCTTGGACCTGCCCAGGCTGGAATCCCAGCATTCCAAAAGCCTCCAGTAAAAGTGATGCAAGGTGGTGGCTACTGGCATGTGCAGATYATTCGTTTTGCCTTTAAAGATTGGTCTGACTTCAAACTTCAYGTCCTGGGTACATAGGGTACATCCAGAGCAGGCATGAGCTGCTTTCATTCAAAGATGTGCTTCTAGAAATGTGGGCTGGAGCTCAGCTAAAGGCTGGGACAGAGCAGGGATAGTACTGGGCTTTAGTTCTGCCTACCCCAGGCAGACAAAGCCCCCAGTAAACCACAAAATGATGTGAGGGGCACACACCGGTCAGTTCAGCCCATCCACCTTTGACACAGGCACCGATAAACCCAAAAGCTCAGCCAGAGCTGGCAGGACTGAGCACAGCGAAGGGCAGGCCGTGCCCTGCCAGCCTGCCCGATGCCATCCCGGTGCCGCAGCGGCCCCGCTGGCCCCGATGCTCCTCCCCTGCTCCGCAGCCCTTCCTCACGTACGTGCAGATCCTCGCGCAGGCAGCCCTGACTCACCCTCGCCGCGCTGCCATGCGCCACAGAGCAGCCAGGCCAGCGAAAACCATTAATTTGACCTGGCAAAGACTCTCTTCCCTCAGCCCTGCCAGAAGCTGCTGATTCACCGGAGACACTACAAGAAAATCTGCCCACATAAAAAGCCCAACGAAGTCTTATTATTATAGGAAAACCCTCTGGTCAGTCCTGAAACACTGTGTTTCAGCCCTGTGACACTTGCTGCTGCACCCTCTGACACCTGCAGAGCAGTGTCAGCTTCCCTAAGACGCCAAAAAAAACAAGCCTTTGCTGGGAAATCACCTCCACACACACGGGGAAGCAGGTTTGCACAGCTTCTAGGAACAAGAGGAATATGGAACAACGGTATCGCGACACAGAAACTGCATCCAGAGCAGACTCGGAAGCTTAGAAAAAATAATCAGGTGAATTCTCCCTGCCTCATGGAAATCCCCCACCCACTCAAGTAATTTACAAATATAATTTTAACACCCGCGAGGTCTTTATGAAGAGGAAGGAAAAGTTCACTTCCCAGCCAGACTCCCCTTCACAAGACTTTCAGAAGTTCAGAGGGCTCAGAAAAATTAACCGGAGACACCATGACCTTGTCCAGGAGCGAGAGCAGAAACGAAGGAGCCAGAAAGTACCCCAAACACCCATCTCTCCACAGCACCGTGCCCATAACCGCCTAGAGTCACTTTCCAATACTCCTCCTGCCTCCSAGCACCGTGCATTCACAAGGCATCGATTGAATTCAACTGGAATGACCAGTCTCATATTTATAACAGGAATGTCTGGCATTTCCCACTACTCCGCTTTTTTTTTRAAATCAAACAGAAGAGCAAGGACTTCAAGGACACCAAAAAACACGGAGCACTCAGTGTGGGCAGAGCAAGGAAGAGGGAGTGGGTAATATCCTACAGAGCCTGAATGTTTCCAGCACTGAATGAACCTGAATTCTTTCCTCAAGGAGAAACGATTAAATCCCCAAGTTTATTGCGTGGCCTGCCCATGCTGCAGGCAGAGTGTCCCAACCATGTCTGGTATCTCCCCAGCTCCTTAATATTCCAAGCTGGGCTGTATGCGGTCAGGACTGGTTTTACTGTAGCCAAGTGACTAATTCCAGCCAGCTCATCCCATGGGYCAGCTGAGTGAAAGCCTAAAATCACCATTTCTTCGGATGTGCCCCTTGGGGATGGAGAAAAGAGTGGGAGCAGCAATCCCCACCCAGGGCCAAGTCTTTGCCGTTGTCAGTGACAGAGGGAAGTGGAAAATGCAACAGGGGCTGTCCCCAGGCCACACCAGCAGAGCTGTAATTGCAGCCAGAGGCTCTCAGGGGGCGATGATTCGGGATTTACTGGTCRGCCTCACTAACAGCGTCCTCCTGGACGCTGCAGAACAAGGCAGCTCATGCCCAGTGTCCCTGCCCAGAGGCAGAAATGGTTTGAGTTARTGCTCAGGGCAGGGTTATGAAAGCAGGCAAACCTTCAGATTCCCAAAAAAAAGCCTAGGAAAACATCAGCTTTGCTCATTCCAGAAGCTAAAGGCTCAACAACAGAGAAATGCAGCTGTGCAGAGAAGCAGGCTTTTACCCTGGCCTGGCATCCCCTCTCCCAGGGAGGGAGGACGGCACATTCCTGCCAGGCAGCCGGTGCCAGCAGTGGTGTCTCGCCGTTACGTAAGGACAAAATGGCCACCCCAAAATTCCACCTCTTTTCTGCAAGCCTGGATGAGACCCAGGAGTCACCACCCGCTCCCGGCTGGCCAATGCTCTGCCCGGCATCGAGCTGCGGATCCACGGGARGAGAGATCCACAACGGAGATGCCTCTCCAGCTTTTTGGCAATAGGAAGTAGGAAGGTCAGGCAATTTCCCTGTGTGCTGCTGGCTCAGCCTGGCCTTAGCCGAGCTGCCCTCCGTGGAAGGCTTAACCAAAAAAAAAAAAAAGAGGAGGTGACAAGCATGGGATGTTTGGTGACGAGAAAGACTTATCTCGAGGGTATTTGTAGGACACACCTACAGGCTTAACCTTGCAGAGGACAAGGAGCCTTTCAGCCTGGCAAAAAGCACCTGGCTGCCTTCAGGCAAGCTGCAAAAACCTGCTTTACACGACAAAAGCAAGCTTGGGGAGTTTTCTTTTTCAATTTAATGAGGCGGATGTGTGGACCACTGTGCTGCATCCCCTCTCCAGGATGGAGATTGCAGCAAGTGGCAGCGCCCCGGTACTGCAGCCCCATTCCCTACGTGCCATCCATCACCACTCGCTGCAGCTCCATCTTCCCCCGGGAGAACAACGGCCAGGAGGGAGATAAAGGACCAGCACGTGCTCCAGCCGGCCTGGGAAACGTCTTGTCCTCATCAAATTAAATTATCAGCTTGTTGGGTGGAAAGGGAATTAAGGCCGGCGATGGATCACTCCAGCTAACAGCAATAAATGACGGTTTTAATAATATTTACAGCTTCGGATGGATAAAGGAGTAGGTAATAAATAATTTAAAAAAAAAAAAAAAAAGCAGGCTGCTGCAGACTCCCCAAGTCCTTTATCTAGTGAAAGCGAAGTTTTTCGGAAGGGTTTCATAGGCAGAAGTCCCCGATTCAAGCACGTGGCTCGCAGCAGCGCTTCCTGCCTCRCACAAAAACCTTCTGCTTAATCCGGTGATGGGCTGGAAACGCGCTGGCACCGGCCCGGCTCATTAACCCATCGAGCTCCTTTTCATTAGAGAATTCTGCTCTATAAACGGGATGTCGGGCATTAAATTATACTTTTCACTTTTTTTTTTTTTTTAAATAATTAAGCACTGCTGGTTGCACAAGTCCCTGGAGGTGTCTGAGTAACCAAAAACCTCTTTGTCATCGCACCTTTGAGCCAAGGGAAGTCACGATGTGCAGCAGCAGGAAAGTTAACACTTTAACTTTACAAAAACCCGCATAAAACACTGATTTTTTTGTTAACCTGGGCCTCACCGATACCTTACCGTATCGATTAACTGCCTTATCATAACAAAGCAGTTTTTTAGAGATTGCAGTCTACTTTTAGTAGTCTGAGGAGACAGTCGGGAGGCTGCCATTGTCTGCCGACAAAAGCGCTATTCATGCCCTGGTAGCCTTTGCAAAGGGGGTTTAAATCGTAAAGGTTTTCACTGTTCAAGAGACTGTTCCGATCAATTGGACGTGTTTAAGCAGRCACAATTACGGAAAGAGATTAATTCAGAAGGGGCCTTGTCTTGCCGGGGGGGGGCCGGGAAGAGGCTGCAGCATCAGCGGTGGGTGCAGTGAGCCGGACGCTGATTTAAGCTGATGCCCTTYGGGGAACCGCCGGCTTTTACGTGAGTGCGGGCGCTGGCGGGGGGGGAGGCGGGCGGCCCAGCGCCTCGCTCCGTCTGCCTCTGACTCAGCCTCCCGGCAGCTCCTCCGGCACAGCCCGGCCGGCGGGACCCGGGCGGCAGCCGCAGCGGGGCCCTCGCTCCGTTTAACGGCGCGGCCGYGGGGCACAGGCGGGGGTCCCCGCCCGTGCGCGTCCGCTCCGTTCACCCGGGCCCGCGCACCACGAACCGGTCCCCCGCCGCCTCCCCGTGCCCGGAGCGGCCGTTTCCCGGTGCGGGCCGCGAGGGGATGCTCGGAGCGGGCGTTCCCTAGGGCTGGGTCACGGGGAGATGCTCGGAACGGGCGATCCCCGGTGCGGTGTCTCGGGGGGATGCTCGGGGAGGTGGAGGGGGGTGGGACGAACGGACGAGGGGCCGGGGCCGCCGGYGGCCACGTGCTCGGCGCCGCGAGCYCCCCGCGCGCCCCCTCCTCAACCGTCCCKTAGGGCGCGCGCCCCATCCCCTCAGCCGCCGCCTGGTGGGACCCTCTACCGACGGCGGCAACACGGGAATAACGGCRGCACCAGCGCGGCCGGCCCCGCCGCTCATCGCCCCTCAGCCCGCCGTTACCTGYCGCTGATTCAGTCACACCCACGTGTGGTCCTCCCTGTCCAAGCGCCGCCGCCGCTCTGCGCGCCGCCCCCACGCCCCGCCAAGGTGATGCCGGTCGGTCGCAGCACCGCCCCCCTCGGATCCCTCCGCCGCCCGCCCCGCCGGGCGCCACRAGGGCGGGGCGCCGGAGCTACTTTCACGGGCGGACTCACAAAGCGCGAGGGGGAGGTGCTGAGTCACAGCACGCGCCCGGCCAGCCAATGAGGAGGCGGCGCATCCGCCGCGCGCGCGGACGGAGAGTGATCGCCGCCTTAAAGGGACCGCGGCCCCGCGCCACGCTCTTAAAGGGGCCGCGGCCCCCAACTCACACTGAACCCCGATTTGCGTCTCARGCCTCCCTCACTCTGGAGGGCRGCAGCGGCTCTKGGGGTTTTGGGGTGCTTTGGGGGGTCCTGAGACCCTCCAGTGGAGCACTGGGGACCAGTGTGGATGCTCTGTGGCACAGCCATGAGGACACAGTGCTGGTAATACTGGGGACACCAGGCTGCAGATGTTGGGGACATGGTGCTGGGGACGCTGAGGACACTGTACTGGGCTCAAGGGGCGACCAGGCCAGAGATGCTGGGGACATGGGGACCACTGTGCTGGGGACACTTGGGACACTGTCCCAGCTGTATGGGGACCCAACACGGACACCCTATGCCACGGACACCCTTGGCTGGGGAATACTGGGGGATGCCATGCTGGAGATGTTGGGGACACTGTCCCAAAACCAGGGGGACCTTCTGCCCATGACAGTGGGACATGCCACTGACGCAGGGACCTGCCACAGAGACCCTGTGCTGGACTGTAGGGACATTGTGACAGCCGTCTGGGGAGACCTGGTATGCTGGGACCATGGAGGGATCCTGTACTGGAGACTTGGGGAACCCCGTGGTCTGTGGAGGGGACCAAAAATGGTCACCCTCTACTGGGGTGCTGGGGACACTGGGCTGGGGTGTGGGGACACCATGACAGATGTGGAGGGGGTCAAAAATAGTCACCCTGTGCTGGGAGCACTGTGGACCCTGTGCTGGGGACACTCTGTTGGCACATGGGGACAGAATCACAGAATGGACTAGATTGGAAAAGACCTTTGAGATCATTGAGTGACCTTACAGTACCTTATCAACTAAACCATGGCCCTGAGTGCCACATYCAGCCTTTTTCAAACACCTCTGGGGACGGTGACTCCACCAGCACCCAATCACTCAGTCAGGGARGAACGTTTTCCTGATGTCCAAATTAAACTTCCCCTAAGACTGTGTCCTCTCRTTCTGATATGGTGAGGGAGACCCAACGTGGCCACCCCAAGGGGCACCCTGTGCTGGGGATACTGGGGACACTGGGGACACTGGGCTGTGACTGTGACAGCCATGGGGGGGATCCAGAATGGTCACCCTGTGCTGGGGACACTGGGGACACTGAGCTGCGCTGTGGGGACACAGTGACAGCCATGGGGGACACGAAATGATCACCCTGTGCTGGGGACACTGGGGATCCTGTGCTGGGGACATTGGGGATCCTGTGCTGGGGACACTGTGACAGCCATGGGGGACACGAAATGGTCACTCTGAGCTGGGGACACTGGGGATCCTGTGCTGGGGACATTGGGACTCTGCAGGGGAGACCCAGCCCGGCCACCCCATGGGGCACCCTGTGCGGGTACTGCGGTGACCCCAAGCCGGGACAGGGGGACCCTGCGTTGGGGACACCGGGAACCCACCAGCCCCGTGTGCCGCCGTGGCGCTGCCCCATCCCGGGGGT